GAGGGGAAACTCTGCTGGATTAAAGGCTCAAGACTAAAAAAGGTTGGAGCTTTGGAGCTTTGAAGAATCGGACTTTTCAGATCTGGTTCTTGACGATCATCCACGCTAAATAAGGCAGGAGTTCGAGAGAGATCAAATCTGAGATCTACACGGTCATCCTCCGGATCAATACTTGGTTTTTGATCCCGAGAAGAATATCGATTTCGCTTGGTCGATTTCGATTACTTAGAGCTATTATTTCCTTGGTGAAATAATCCCCTCGGCTGTTATTTCCTTCGTGAAATAACACCCGTTATACCGTGTAGATCCAATTGGATCAAGATCGCGCGGTGGTCCACGGATTAACCCCGGCAGGCAAAGAACCCACACAAGCAAGAGACCGTAAAACAGGATCTTGCGATTTGTTCCAGAAAAGGAAAGTTGTAATCTTTTAAGATTTTCTTTTTGTTGATTTTGTTGTAACCGGATCTTATAAAAAGACCGGATCTTTTGTAACCGATAAATTGTTGCTTAAGAAGACAATGACATCAATGAAAACAATTTTTCCCGCGAACAGGAGAGAGTAGAAAGAGGCAAGATGGAGGAGGGAAGGTCAAGGCATATGAAAATAAGGGAGAAGAAGAAAGATATGGAAGGGCGAAGGAGGAGGGGGCGACATTGAGAAATGCAATAAATGAAGGTAAAGGCGGCGGTGGAGGAGAGAAGTTGAGAGGAAAAGAGACATGAGAGATGTTAAAGGTGAGAGAGTGGGAGAGAGATGAGAGATGTTAAAGATGAGAGACGAAGAGAGAGATGAGCGAGGTTCATGGGTTCAAGGAGAAATGAGAGAGAAAAAAGGAGGAACAATGAGGGAAAAAAGAAGGAAGGAGACGGTATTTTTGGATTCTTAAAAAGATCGCATGGGCTAGGAGGTCATTTACCTCGGTTTTTAGGGTCAAGAGGGTTTTCCACTAGCCCAAAAAGCTGAGGGACTTTCTTGCTTGGATTCTTATGCCTTAGGTGCGCGATGCCACTTTCCTAAAAAGTAAATAAAGATACTAACAAATAAATTATGTGAAGCTGAAAAAAGTTAGCTGAATGTTGCTAGTAGTACACAAATGATGATATTTTAGCATGGTGTAAGTGTTGGGGATTCAAGATAATCAAATCAAATCCGTACCCTTCCGGATCTTGTGTTTGAGAGTTGAGCAAGAAAGAAATTCACCACAAATCAAAGATAAAAATTTATAAGAAAGTAAACAAGAAAGAACACACCAAATTTAACGAGGTTCGGCAACGTGCCTACGTCCTCGGGAGCCACACCACACAATTCTTTTATTACTTGAAGAAGATTACAATGCTTACAATTGGTCTCTCTCTCTCTCTCTAAGATTTCTAACCTCAAAGAGCCCTCAAAACACTCTTTTTTTCGTGCTCTTTTTCTCTCTTAAACCCTAAAGGGACGTGTTTCTATTTATAACAAAACACAGTCCCAAACAGATTAGGATTCTAAAACGAGTCTGCCACATCCTGGTGTAGCGCAGACCAACACCCATGGCAGACATGGCAGACTCTACCACACCCTGGTGTGACACAGACCACACTCATGGCAGACAGGGCAGACTCTGCCACACCCTGGTGTGGTGCAGACCACACCCTGGTGTGGTGCAGACCACACCCTGGTGTGGTGCAGACCACACCCTGGTGTGGTGCAGACCACACCCATGGTCTGTCTTGAATTTTTATGTGATTGTTGATTTTGATTCTAGGTTTGGGTCTCCATTTTCAAGACCAACAATCTCCCTCTTGGAGATCAAACCACCATCAATGAGCTCTCCCGAACTCCGCCTTCTCGCAAGCATCTTCTTCTACTTGAAAAATCCATTCTTCAATCATTAACATCCCGACAATCTCGCCGATCCTCGTAGTGTGGCTCCGCCTTCGTCTTCTACTCGTGAAGGTCAACTGAAGTTGCGCACAACTCCAGTTTCTCAATGGTGACTGTCTTCGTCAACATGTTCGCCGGATTTTGACTCCCCAAAATCTTTATCAAATGTAACTTTCCATCTTCAACTAGCGAGCGTATAAAATGGTATTTAACGTCGATGTGCTTCGTTCTGACATGATATACTGGATTCTTAGCAAGATGTATAGCGCTCTGGCTATCATAATAAAGAACTCCTCTCCCGTGCTTCAGATCCAACTCTTTCAAGCACCCGTTCAACCAGATCATCTCCTTGCTTGCTTCAGTCACCGCGACATACTCAGCCTCGGTTGTAGACAAAGTCACAATCTTCTGCAGACGTGAGATCCAGCTCACTGCTATCGACGCTAAGGTATAAACATACCCCGTGGTGCTTCGTCTCTTATCATGATCACCGGCGAAGTCCGCATCCACGTATCCCTGTAGCACCAACTCCTTCCTCCTGAAACATAATGGCTTATTCGTTGTCCCTCTCAAGTACCGCATTATCCACTTCACGGCCTCCCAATGCTGCTTCCCTGGATTGCTTGCAAATCTGCTCACAACTCCCACTACATAGGAAATGTCTGGCCTCGTGCATCCCTAGAATCTGCTTCGCTACACCCAGATCCTTCATTGCCAACTCCTTTGTTAGCTGCTTCTTCAAACTGTTTATCTCCTCTAAACATGGTCCTGCTACTAACATGTCATCAACATATAATAACAAAACAATAAAGCTGGACTCGAACCTTTTGAAATAAAAGCAATGATCTGAATTTCATCTTCTGTAGCCATTATTCTGCATGAAGTTATCAAACTTCTTATACCACTGTCTCGGAGTCTGTTTCAAATCATATAAGCTCTTCTTGAGCTTGCACACCATCTCTTCCTTTCTTTCTTCAATGAAGCCAACAAGCTGTTTCATGTAGATTTCTTCATCCAAGTCACCATAAAGAAAGGCAATCTTCACATCTAACTGCTCAAGAAAGAGGTCTTCTGCAGCCACCAAACTCAACACCACTCTGATGGTTGTGAGTTTCACAACAGGGGAAAATATCTCCGTGTAGTCCACTCCTTCCCGCTGTTGAAACCCCTTCACTACTAATCTGGCCTTGAATCTCTTGCTTCCATCACTATCCTGCTTGACCCGATAGACCCATTTGTTATGTAAGTCTTTCTTCTGTGTAGGTAGCTGGGCTAACTCCCATGTCTCATTAGTGAGTAGAGAATCCATCTCCTCCTACATAGCATGCTCCCACTGCTGAGATTCACTCACTTGCATTGCCTCTTCATAGCACTCCGGCTCACCGCTATCTGTCAACAATAGGTAGTTAAGAGATGAAAGATATCTGAAATTTGGTTTGGATACCCTGGATGACCTCCTAAGCTTCACGCCCTGGGTAGTTTCTTCTGCACCTGGAGCCTTCTCCATTCTCTGATCAGAACAAACATCATCACCCCTATCTGAAAGTTCCTCTAAATCCATGTACTCGGATCCACCTGTATCCGTAGTGGTACTTCCACTACTTTGGTTATCCTTAGCATTTTCCCTGTTCTTGTACATCACCTCCTCATTGAATATCACGTCCCTGCTTCTGATGATCTTCTTGTTCTTCTTATCCCAAAGGCGATACCCGAACTCATTAATACAGTATCCAATGAATGTGCACTTCTGTGACTTAGCTTCTAGCTTATCCCTGACATGGTCACTGATATGAACATAAGTCATGCAACCAAATACACGCAAGTGTGAGAGATTTATCTTCTTGTCACTCCAAACCTCCTCTGGAATCCCAAAATCTAATAGAACTGATGGCCCGTGATTAATAAGGTAGGCTGCTGTATGCACTGCATCTGTCCAAAATGTCTTAGGTAGACCTGCATGTAACCGCATACTCCTGGCACGCTCTATCAAGGTCCTGTTCATCCTCTCTGCAATGTCGTTCTGCTGCGGCGTCCCTGGAGTAGTCCTCTCTAACCGAATACCATTCGTAGCACAAAACCTCTTGAACTCCTCCAGCTCATATTCCCCACCATTGTCTGATCTCAGACACTTCACCTTCAGATCTGTCTCATTCTCTACCATGGCCTTCCACTTCTTGAAGAATCCAAACACCTCTGACTTGTGCTTCATGAAGTAGATCCACACCTTTCTCGAGTGATCGTCGATGAAGGTGACATAATATCTCGAACCGCCAAAAGAAGACATACTGGTTAGACCCCATACATCTGTATGAATCAACTCTAGCTTCTGAGCCTTAGGTGACCTTCCACCATTCTGAAAACTAACCCTCTTCTGCTTCCTAAAGATGCAGTCTTCACAAACCCCGACTTTCACAGCGTCGATCCCGGTTAGCTTTCCTTGTGAATGCAAAATCTTCATCCCCTTTTCGCTCATGTGCCTTAGTCTATTGTGCCAGAAATCTGTACTCTCTTTGCCAGCTGCAATTACGAGGGTGTCACTCGCATGTAAGGTGAGGTAGAGAGTTCCTAGTTTCTTACCTCGAGCAACTATCATCATACCGTTGAACTCGCTGAGATGCATCGTGAAGGACCGTCCTTCTGCCATCTTGAGGTTGAACAGAGTTTTGACTAGATGCACCTTAATGTTCTCATAGAAATATATAATAAATACAATAAAAAATTTCTGACCTTCTTGTGATTCCCATTCCTCGAATGAAAGCATTAATAGAAGATGAAGACCAGCTAGTGTTATTAGGCGTGGGTCATCCCAGCCATCTACCCAGTTATCTGTGACTAACTGAAGGGCCAAAACATAACCACATAAGACAAATAATGGTAAAACGAGCATTAACAGCTAAGACTTTACTGCCTCAAGGACCGATGCAACCTCACCTTACACTTAGACATCACTGTGTTTAAAATATTTAACCTTGAATATTCCCAGACATAAGGCTTGTGAAGTCCTGGTGCATCCAGTAGCCAGTAATATGAAGCACGATGAATCTCAAACTCGAGAGTGCATAGCTGCAAAAGCCGCACAAGCATTAGTAAGAAGCATTAATAAAGACATGGATACATTATTTATAGACAGGAAATCATGTAAAAGAAACAAAAAACAACCAAATCAACGAAATACAAAATGCTTATATTCCAATAGACAAAGATAATCAAGCCATTAACAAAAGAAGCACAACAGAAGGATTACGGTTAACATTTGTTCACTTAAAATTATTGTCGAACAAATGACAATAAAGAAGAATTCCAATTGTACTTTTAAGATTTGATGATACTACCGATGCAAAAAAAACATGGTATCTATTGCACTTCAGTAGTAATAAAAGAACACTGCTGCAATAGTTCCCGAGGTATGTAGAGCAAAATAGCATCCGTAGTAAAAATTAGGACAAGATATATGTTTCCTAAGATTATGGAGAAGGATAATAATGAATGAAACAAAGTTCAAAACTTGCAGAAGACAGAACAGATATGATATAGACAATGTCAGGATAGAAATAGATACTAACCGAATGAGTAACATTTTCAAGAGAATCCGCAATGCAATGATGTTGGTAGGCGCGAGACGCCCACATAGCCGTGGAAGCTAATTAATCCCTTGAGAAAACAACCCAAGCTTGAGTTTAAGTCGGACTCAAACCAACCAATACAAGCAATAACGAATACCCAGATAAAACAGTAAGTAAATGAGACGAGACAACAGATTTACGTGGTTCGGCAAACTTGCCTACGTCCACGGGAGCCGCACAAATAATTTCTTATTTAACTACAAGAAATTACAAAGCTTGAAATAGAGAAGATCTCAAACTTGAGATCTCTCAAAAAATACCACTTGTGATTTTAATCTAAAATCACAGCTCAATTTCTCTTCTCAAAAAACCCTTCTCAAAATCCTTGAGAAGTGCCGCCGCCACCACTGAAGAAATTCATCTCAGAAAAAATTACGAGAAGAGCTGCTCAAATTGATCTCGTAAATAAGGTTTCTTTTTCATAGGGAAACCCTAGGCTTCATTCCACTATTCCGCCAACCTCCAACGGATATGATCGTGAATGCTCGATTCCATCCAATCTCCAACGCATTATTTGTCTAAAATAAATAGAAAAACACAAACACTAGACAAACAATATTAGTTGTAAATTGTTTGTAAAAACATTATCAAAACAAAAAGACCAACAATCTCCCCTTTTTTATGATGACAAACAATTTACAAAATGTTGTATGCATGAAACGAAATAAATAAGAATTATGATTATCATGCATAAAAATAAGGAATATATACTCATAATATTTCTCCCCCTTTGACAACATCAAAAAGGGGAAAACAAAAGAATGGAGAGAGCGAAAACTCCCTCTACCAATAAGCATGGTGCGTATAAAAACAATAATAGAAATAGGGAATGCTCCCCCTATCAAAATGCCTTATAAGATATATGAAATGAATGCTAAATATGTGAGCAAGCATATATGAAAAATATGCTAAACACAACTCACATACAACAAGACAATTGAGAACACATGTAGATATGTCATTTAAAAAAATGTGTCTCAAAGCATTGGTTTTAAAACAAAACCTAATCAAAAAATTTATGAAATCAAAAGAAAGAAAACATGAGAATCATGCAAAAAGTTATCAAATGAAAACAAATCAACCAATGAAATCATAAATCACAAGTAAACCATATGAGAACATAAAACCAAACCATCATCGATTTTCAAAAAAGTAAGAGAGACAATCATATCAAGCTCTTGAGCGAGCTTGTTTCAACCCATATAAATATTTTTAGCACCCAGTAAACAAGATTTGAGAATAAACACCCAATAAACCCGGGGGGGTTATATAAACACAAACCTCTCAGCAAAAATCAAAACTAATAATCATGAAAACAAAAGAATTCATTAAAAAAATTTAATTTTCAATACTTTTAAACACATTTTTCAAAACCAAGAAATAATAAAAAAAAATATTAGAAATCTTGGTTTAAAAGGATTTTGGTACCCAAGCATTCTTGGTGCCGAAAATTTTAGGGACATAATCCCTATCATTAAAACTCAAAGCCTTAGGGTTATGAACCCATTTGGGCGCAGTTTGCGCACTAATTCAGTCATAATAATAATCACTCAAATGACCCTTCCGATTGTAATATGTGCAATGAAAGATGCTCATTTATTTTTGTGGACCATAGGGATGTGCACGGGAACCATTTGCAAACAAAAAAAATTTATATATAGCTCTTTGCAATTGTTAAACACCATTAAACAAAGGTAGTTCTTTTGAAACAACTTGCGATTTTAAAATATTTTGTAAATCAAAGCAAAATTTCGCTAAGTGTCCAAACCTACCATAAACACCACACTTAAACTTTTGTGATCTTTTAGAAACATTTGGTAAATGTGAAACTTTTTTCAAGTCAAAGCAAAATTTTGCTAAATGACCAAAACGATCACAATGATTACATTTAAACACACTAGCATGCTTATGATGAGAAAATGATACATGTGCATGTGTGTGTGATGAAGATGAAGCTTGATGGGATGCACAAGCATGATTAAGCTTGATGGGTTTTTGTGCATCATAACAAAATTTAGCAATATGACTTTTTCAGTCGTAAATAGAGTATTTGTAAATTTTGTTATACATGTGTGCATAGTATATGAGTTGCTTGGAAGAATTTTCATTGGATTTTGCACACAAGTCCATAAGCTTTTTATTATTTACAATGCATATTTTAAGGGTTGAATCTAAAGATGATATACGTTCATTAACATGATTCAACTTATTATTTTGTACAAATGCGTTGTTATTAGAAGTAGAACATATATAGTCATTTATAAAAGAAGCAAATATCATTTTTCATATTCTCTACTTCTAATATGGTATTATCTCTTTCATGAGTTAAGTTAGCAACATTTGAAGTTAAAACAATATGATCCAATTTTAATTTTTTATTATTTTCTTTGAGGATCACATTCTTATTAGAAATTGTATCAAACTTAGATGCTAACAACTCATGATCGGATTTTAACTTTACATGCTTACTTTTCAAATCAATAAAATTTTTATGCAATTTGTTATAGGCATGCAATAATTTTTCAGAAACACAAGCAAGTTCATCACTAGATAAATCATTAATGGATTCGAACTTGCAAACCTCACCATGGCTATCGCCTAGTGTCCATGTGCATGATGCTCTAATGGAACTTGAAAAGAAAACCTCCAAAGCTTGTCTGATCACCTCGAAGTTCCCCTGATGTGTTTCTATGAATTTTCATAAAGTATGAGCACTATCAAAATAAACAAACTTGTTAGAAATAGATGAGTTAAAAGCATTTAATAAAAGTTCTAACAAGAGCTTGTTCATAGTAAACATTCTTTTATCATTTTTACTCTACTTGGATTTCTCCGAAGTGGGTACAATATAAGCATTATCAATTATTTTTCAAAAATTAAAATGTCTAGATTTAACAAATATTTTAAATTTAGAGCACCATTGGGTATAGGGAAAAATATTTAATTTAGGAGCAATATTTATATCATAGCCTAAATAATGCACACAATGTATATCCATAATATATTATGCAAGCAAAATACAAAAAATAATCTCAAAACTAGATTAGCACAAAAAATAACTTGGATCTTTAACTCAATATGATTAGACCTTAAATCAAAGAGCACCAAGCTCTGATACTAATTGTTAGACCCTAATGCCACTAGGAAAGAACCCTAGAGGCGGGTGAATAGGGTTTATACTAATCTAATCCGATTTTATGCCAATTAAAACTAATTAACAAATTATACTAGTAAATAAGATATGTAACAATTGTATGCAAGGATAATCAATATAAACAAAGGGTAAAATAAACAAACTACAAATGTGATAGGACAATATACACAAAGAGTAATAGACAATGACGATATAAGATAAACACAAAAGAAAATACGCCAAGGACAAACTAAAACACAAGCAAATGATCACGGAGTTCGGACCTTCCGTCCTACGTCTCCGCTCCCCACTCCCGGGAAGAAATCCACTATCACACCGAGTTTTCGACGCTCACCCGAAAACGTTTACACCTCACACTCGGTTTTCTAGCTCATCGAAAACTTTACATTTTCGACGCTCACCCGAAAACGTTTACACCTCACACTCGGTTTTCTAGCTCATCGAAAACTTTACAATCAATACTCTTACAATCTTACTCTACACCCTCTAAGTATTGGTCTCTAGCCCGTGTCTCCCTTAAGTGCTCGGATTTACAACCTCCCCAAGCTTTACTATCGACGTCACTCCTCTTGGGATGACCTCGTCTCTAACCACACACTTCTCTCAGTGTAGAAGTGTATTACAAAGTGTATCCTCACAATGAAGGCTCACAAATACAAATGTTTGTTCTCTAACTAGATGAGAGCTCAATTAAGCTCACTCTCAAGGTCACAATCCCACAACCCCAATATATACTATGTATGCAAATACAATAAACTCAATGGTTGTGTGTGAACAATGAGTAAATCAAAACAAATCTAAACTCAAAATAAATTCTAGCTTATGGAAATAAAAATCAAACATATAAATAGCTAGATATGAGTTTAGAAAAACTTCTCTATGATGACAAGAGAGAGAGGGAGATGAGTAGAATGCCCAAACACAATTGAAGGTCTCCTCAAGCCCTTGTGAAAATTTCTTCACAAAACAAATCTTGTAAATAAAAAACTTAAACAAACTTAAACCACACATAAAACTTGTTTTTAAACTCTCTTAGGTAGGTGGGAATGATAAATGCAATGGGGGTATATATAGACTAGAAGAAAACAAACCAAGAAAACCCCAAAATCCCACTAAAAACAAAAACTAAAAATTAGTCGTTACTGTGCAACGGTAACATTGACGGTCGACCGCAGTGCCAGGTCAGATCGACCGTGAAGAGGTGAAATCCAAAGATTGCTCTCTGGATATTTCACAGTCGACCACGGCGACCATGACGGTTAACCGCAAACCGACATATCAGATATGCACATGTTTGTAGAAAATCTGATTTTAAACATGTCTTAAAAATAACAAATAAAATCCAAAAAATAAAAAACTTTGGGGAATACTTGTAAACATGAAAATGAACATATTACAAAAACTGGTTTTTAAAAAGCACTTCCCATTTGTGAAATTTCATTATTTTGCAAAATCGCTTAAAATACGAAATCTCGAAAATACATGATTTTGACAAAATGACATAAACAAACTCCTAAAACATTTTGAATGGATTTATAGACTTATACAAGATATGAAAATAGTGTAAACAAGTCTTCAATCCATAAACATATAATTTTGCAAATTCAATAGAATATGAAACACGTAAATGTATATATGAAGATATATATTGTTTCATATCTATATAGCTATACTAAAAACAACTTATCCATAAATAAATATGTGAATAAATCTATGATTTACAAAAACTTATTTTCTATGTGGATAAGTTACAAAATGAATAAACCAAAAATGATAAATATGAAACATGTGTGTATGTATATAGATAAGTGTACTTGTTTCATATTTAAACTTGAAAGCTATAAAACCAAAACGTGTACGTGTGTATATAATTGAGCTTAAAGTATTAACACATATAATATAAAACCTAAACTAATTTACCCAAGCTTGATTGATCTTTATTGTAGTTTGTCTTGGTAAACATGGATGAAGTTTGAACTTGGATCTTGACTAGTATGCATAAGTTTTATTTTACTATTCCGCCAACCTCCAACGGATATGATCGTGAATGCTTGATTCCATCCAACCTCCAACACATTGTTTGTCTAAGGGCCTGTTTAGATTTGTAGGGGGTGAAGGGAAGTTAAGGGAAACTGAGTGAAGGGAAGGGAAGGGAAGGGAATTCCCTTCCCCTTGGTTACACCCCAATTTGGGGGTAACAATTTTTATACTATTAGGGGGTGAACCAAGGGGAACTAGGGTGAATTAACTTCACCTCCTAAGTGTTCCCAAACAAGGTGAATGGAGGTGAATGATTCCCCTAACTTCCCTTCACCCTCATTCCCCTCAATCCAAACAAGCCCTAAAATAAATAGAAAAACACAAACACTAGACAAACAATATTAGCTATAAATCATTTGTAAAAATATCATCAAAACAAAAAGGCCAACAGATCTCATATTCTTATCTCTCCTTGAGTATATTTCAGGAATATCCTTGAGAGAAGGCGTAGATTTGTATGATCATATACCAAATCTTCCGCTCATTTTGGATTAATCTTGTTCCTCTTTAAGGAGTGAATGAACTTCAATTCCTCTCACAACAAGATGAGGAATATGGATTCCCAAGCAATTTCAATGCCAATTGTGGTAGCATAGGTGTAGAAGCCACATAGATAATCCACCATGATTTAGCATCCATTTCCCCCCATCACACAAGGAGTCATGGTTAAAAAATGCATCCAATAAGGCAAAAAAAATTAGCAAATTTGATGTTCACCATTTGTCGTTCTTCGGAATTTGGAAAGTACCTTCTCAAACACTTAGATCTTTCATTGGAGATTTCAAGATTCTTGTGTGGTGCAATTCAGTTTGGTGCTCCGGTGAGCCATTATGCACTATAATACCTAGAAGATAGTGCAAAAAAGCTTTAGAGAATGGACCAAACAATAAATGCTAAAAGTTTTGTAAAAGAAAAGTAAAGAACTAATTTGAATTGAGGGAAAGCAAACAATGAAGCAATGTGTTGCTCTTATTCCATCAATCTATTAAAATAATATGCATCACATTATAAAATGAAGATTCTTCATCATCACTCTTGCATTCCTTTCTATAAATTGAGCTCTTCACATTTCAATCATAGAATCCCACTTGTCATAGATGAAGTGCAGATTAAAACTTGCTGGTGTCGACGGATCGAAACATATTATATATAAGCTTGGCAAAGAAACTAATATATTCTATCTTGTCCAACCATATATCATACAAAATCATTTACTTGACAAGGTGTGCTTTCCTAACATCATCATCCCGATATAAGTTCTAATTTTCACTAATCATCAAATCAAGAAGACTATGTTTTCTCTCTTTGAACTGCCTCAACATAATAACTACCAAAGAAAAATGAATTTCGACAATAGCAAGCATTTTCACATGATTATTGAACATCACCAATCTCATAAAGAATCAATTTGAATTTCTAATCATCATAACATCTCCAATAATATCAGAAATCCAACTACATTCTTCTCATACACCACCTCATTTTTTTGTTCTTTGCCGCACAAATGTTTTTTAGTGTAAGATTTAGTGTGTGAACTACACACGGTGTCCAAAATATATGGGGGATATTCTCTCCACAATGCTCACTGAAGGCTTGCAAACCGGTGCATTGTCGGTTATAACTTGCACGACATTAAGGACCCACCTCTTAAATAGTTTTTAAAAGAATCTCCGCAATATATTCCATATTCTTGGTTACCCTCCACATTGACCGCATTCAAGAACATTGGCCCACTTTTGGTCACCGCCATCACGTTAATGATAGGTCTTCTTTGTGAGTAAGACCAACTATCATTGGCAATGGAGACGCTCTTTTCTTTCCATGTAATCTTTATAGGTTTCAATAATTTCTCAATGTGTGATCTATCTTTTTGCAAAACATTTGTTCTATAAAGATCGTACCCTGATGGAACAAAGCCTCTAATTGCTTTATTTGCGGCATACTTATAAGATGAGATGAAATATGGATTCTTTACCAAATTAAATGATAAGGCCCCGTGTCAAATCCTGGCTCTGCCTCTGGATGTAGATACAAATATGAGGTAGGATATGGGACATAGGAAATTTGTAAAAGGTAGGATTGGGACTCGATTATATATACATATTGATTTTACTATTTTACATGAGATTGATTTTGTTTTTTATTTACATAGTATGAAAACTAAAATTCCTAATAATATTTTTACTTCATTTAATTTTAACTAGATACCTCAATGACCTTCAAAATCATACTTCTAAAATTACGGGCTCAAAAAAACTTGACCCATGTTCAACGAATCGTAGGAACTGGCGGGAAGTGCAAGATATACATTCATTAAGTGTATGACGAGTGTTCTAAACTAGAACATGTATTATATAATTGAGTACACCTTTAAATAAATGTATGCAAATTCAAGGAGAGTCCAAGGAAGTGTCCAACAAATGTCCAAGGATTGTTGGCATCGAACACATCGGACATGGATACAGGAGCCCAGACAAGGCGTCTGGGTTACCTATCTGACCATTTTAGCCCACCGATTTCAAGTTTAAGGACCAAGTTTAATAAGAATAGTGGTCATGATAGACATGGAGGAACAAATATAATGAGGAGATGACTTTACCTTTGAAGATACAATGTATTCGAGAAGAAATGGCCGATGGTTAAGTGCATTAGCAGGAAACTTCGTAGCAACCCTGAACACGAATACAACGGGATAGCAAATAAAAAAGGAGTAGCAAAGTTTTACTTTAAAAAATATGATATGCTGAAGATCAATTATACCGTGTATAGAAGATTTCCAATTGTCTTGTTACAACCATTCCCAACATTTGCCTGCAGCACCAATAATTACAAAATAAATATACTCACAGTTCAGTAACTAAATTTATATATCGTCGCTGTAAGCTGCATGGAGAAGAATGTCATATCAGTAATAGTAAATTGATCAAACAATAAATGGCACAGATTTCCATTCTTCACACTTTATACCAAATCATTCCTTTCTTTCTAAATACTGGTCTAAAGAAGTAGATACAATGATACAACAGGAAAAGGAACAAAACCTTGTACCAAATCTTCATAGTTCCCTATATTAGGCACATGAACAGGCCATCTCTCTGATCTCCTTCACATTTTATCTTATAACCTAAGTTACTTGTGACTCATATTAATGTGAACATTTCTTTATCCTATCTTTTAGCATATGACAACTGATTCATGTCAACATTCTCAAGGCCTTCGTTCCTAAATTCTTAGACAAGTTTGTAACTATATAGTTTCCATCCCAATCAGAGATTTTTGAGAAATCTACTTAGTTTTGGCCTACGTTACCTGGACTCGGGTATGAGTATCTGATACGGGTGCGGATCCGAGTGTCCGATACGAAATTTCTAAAAATTTTGGATACGGGGACACCGTCCTAAATTTCGACACGGGTACGAGGATACGACAATAAAAAAAAATAAAAGTTTAATCAACAATTCAGCATGTGAAAGGCTTTGTAACTTTCCAACTTCCATCTTTAACTCTTCATTACATGCAAGCAATTAACAATTATATTAACTATAGCAATTTTACTATGTTTAATTTCAAATTCTCAATAAAATAAGCTCATCCTTAAAATATAAGTAAGACCACATTTGACACTTTGACTGATATCACATAACAAAAAAAATAATATATATAATAAAATAATATATATAATAATATATAGATAAAGAGAGAGAGAGAGAGAAGAGAGAGAAGAGATAATGAATCCTTTCAAGAGGGATTCCTCCTTGACCCTTATAAAACACAATGATTGAGCGACATTATGGATGATCCGCTCCGTTGAACTGATCACAACTAAACCCAACACAGGGACCAAGTTTGGAATCCGCGTCGTTTGACCCTCATCGAACCAGTGAAAAGTTCATTCATCAAACCGTTAAAATTGAATGACGAGTGAAGGTCAAACGACGACAGGGTTCAAACCCAAACTGGTGTATTGTTAGAATATGTACGACAAGTTCAACGGAGCGGATACCACAAGTCGCCTCAATCATTGATTTTAGAGGCGTCAAGAACAAATCCCCTCCTATGACAAAGATACCATACATCTCATATATATATAATATATAATATATATAAATAATAATAAATATATAATAATATATAATAAAATATAGTATATATTATATATATATATTACAGAAATTACAATGGCCTGACCTCAATCCTCAGTCATGCTCAATACCAACAAAAATTGAGAAAAACTAATTTACAGCCCACCTTAACCCAACCAACAACAATCCCATATACAAGAAAAATACGCGCCCACACCATATACAATAAATAAAGCAGCGGCCCAACCCTCAAGCCCAAACGCAATCACAACCCATAAAAACCAAATACCCCATTCCCTCGGCTAGAACCCAGAACCCATTCCCCTCCCGCAGCGCGCCGCAATAGCCAAAGCAAGCAACGAAAAGATGCCGCCAAAGTCGATCCCTCCCAGTCGTGCGTGTTACCTCAGGTCACCGGCGGAGGGGGACACAATCCCTGCCCCGAAATCGAGCCGTCGTAGCCTCAGAACCGCAGTGCCATCGGCCTCTCATCTTTCTTTCTTTATTTTTGTTTTGCGACACACACCTCGCGAATCTGAGTGCCACCACCGATCCGACCCGATTTCTACCCGGATCAATGCGGCTCGTATCGATGCGTACACGTCGACTCGAGGGTATCGAGTATCCTGGATACGGTTGCGGATCCGTAAGTCGTCCAGATACGAAATCTAGAAACAAATTTGGATACGCGCGGACACCCGTCCCTACGAACTTTCGACACTTGCGGCTACGTAGGATACCGACCAATAAAAAAAACAAATGGGAGAGTTGGTAATCAACCAATTCAGCATCGTGAATGGCTTTCTGTAAGCTTTCCAAACTTCCATCTTTAACTCTTCATTACATTGCCAAGCAATTAACAATTATATTAACTATAGCAATTTTTCTATGTTTATTTCAAATTCTACAATAAAATAAGGGCCTCATTCCTTAAAATTATTAAAGCGGTACAGACTCCCATTGAACTTTGCACCTTTATATTCTACATTAAGCCATCATAAAAATAATATATATATAATATTATATATATAGTATAGGTTATATTACTATATATTATTTATAGAGCAGAGAGACGAGAGAGAGAAGATCTGAGTACGAGAGCAATTTCAATGACGTATCCTTGTCGATAGGAGGGGATTTCCTCCTTGACGGCCTTTAAAATCACATGATGAGCGACATTATGATGATCCCGCCTCCGCTCTGAACTTGATCTACATATTCTAAAGCCCCAACACACCAAGTTCTGGGTTAATCGTCGTCGCTTTGACCCTCCACTCGAACCCATGTGAAAAGTTCTATTACATTCAAACCTCGTTTAAAATTGATACGACGGTGGATCGAAGCGCGTCAAACGACGACGCCGTTTCAACCCAAAACTTGGCCGGGGTGTGTATGCGGGTTTCTAGGAATATGTAGATCAACGTTCAGACGGAGCGGATCATCCCACAATGTCGCGCCCGCTCAATCATGCTGATTTTAGAGGGCGGTCAAGGAACAAATCCCCTCTATGACAATGGGTATACCCATAATTCTCATATATATATATATATATATATATACTATATATATATATAAGTTAAAATTAAAATATATTATAAAATATAATATTATATATATATAGTACTATACTATATCATATAACTATATGATATAGTATATACTTTACAGAATATACAGATGGGCCTTGGACATTTTCACATCCTCATCGGTTTCATGTCTCACAGTACCCACCACAAAATGCTAAGGCAATAACCTATATTTACAGCCAACCTGAGCCCAACTCAAGCAAATCCCCATATACAATGACATTTAATTGTTAGCGCCCCCACACCCCATACTACACTGAATTAACAGCCAGCGCGCCCAACCTCATAGGGCCAAACGCAAACACAACCCATATAAAATCCAAATACCCCAGCTCCTCTCTTAGCACCCTTTAGAACCTCTTCCCTCTCCCTGCCAGCCGTCGCCGCCAATAGCCAAAGCAAGCAGCGCGAAGAGATGCTGCCAAAGTCTCGATTCCCTCCCAGCCCGTCCGTGGACGCTGTACGCTCTAAATCCATGGCGTCACCGCGCCAGGTCCGCTGAGCGTGGGGACTACAAGTTCCCTGCGCCCCGCAAGGATCGAGCCGTTCCTTCCTCAAGTAACCGCAGCTTGCGATCGGGCCCTTCTTTCCATCTTTTCTTTCTTTAATTTTTTTGGTTTTGTCGATTCACACACCTCGCGCCGCTGATCTATCTGAGTGGCCAACCACTCGTTATCCGACCCGGATTTCGTACCCGGCATCGATAGTCGGCTGCGTATCGATGGTGTTCGGTACGACGGTCAAACCGTCGTGTCCGAGTAACGTAGGTTTTGGCTCTATTTTTTTAGACCTTTAATCAGAGCCGGCTCAGAGGGTGTGCAAGAGGATCGACTGCACAGGGGCCCCTAAAATTGGGGCCCCAAAAAAATCTCATCTACCGTCCATTACTAATTCTCAATTGGATCTCGGCCATCCATTCAAACTTAAACACCCTAAAATCCCTTCAAAAATCCCTTCAACCGTTAGTCCCAAAACTCAGCCCCCAAAATCCACTCACCCCCTCAACTCCGTTTCCTCATCTCTTCCGTCCGTAGACCCCCGCGATCGTCGCCGTCGCCAGACCTCGACGCTCGCCTCGCCACCCTCCCCAATCACAGATCTCCTCCGTCCTCCCCAATCGCAGATCGATTTTTATCGTAATTACTTGATTATTTGGAAATTTTTGAGGGATGATGATGAACAATTCGACGCCGATAGCAGCTGGTTTGAGCTCTGGATCGGGGGATGCGACGGCTCAGAGGAAGAATAAGAGGCCAAAGTGTGAGTTTTTGTTAGGGATTTTGATTTTTATGTGTTTAATTTTAATGGGTGTCTTTTAGTTTTGTTGATTGTGAGTTAGTTTGAGATTGAGATTTTGAGCTAGGGTTTGTTGAATTGGATATTGTTCGGTTGGTTTGTGTTAGGGTTTTTGATCTGTATGCTTTTGTTGTTAGTGGGGATCCTCTGCTTAAGCCTATTTTCCCTTAGATAACTTACTGATTTTTTTAATTTATTTTCTGGTTTAGCTTGTGGTCTCAATGAACAATGGATTATAACTTGGGTAGAACTAAGTTAATAAATGTGCTCTTTGATCTGCCTTTCAGATTCGAAGTTTACTCAACAGGAGCTTCCAGCTTGCAAGCCTATTCTCACTCCCCAATGGGTATGTTTCACTAATTGTTGGTTATAAATATTAACTCAGAAATGACCAAGTTGCTTACTTAACAATGTGCACTCCATGTTCTATAGGTGATTTCAATGTTTGCAATAATTGGCACTATTTTCATCCCCATTGGCATCGCCTCACTGTTCGCTTCTCACAATGTATTCTCATAGATGTCATGAAATTATTGACACAACTTCTAGTTTGTAATTGCCTTGTCACCTTTGACATGAATTGTGTTTGTTATTACCATTTTTCTTATGTCCAAGTCAAGAGTAATGTGCTAAGTGCCTACGAAACGCTCGCATGAAAGTGCCTTACTGAAGTATGAGTTATGTATTTCTTGTAAGTGGAGAAGGATATGGATGCTCCTATTTATGTGTACTATCAGCTTGATAACTTATATCAGAATCATAGGAGGTACATAAGAATTCACTTTATTCACAATTGACTCTGACTTTGCAATTTAAAGGCTTAATTAGTGATTTTGCAGCTAAAAATGCAAGGAGGACAATTTTTCGATGATACTTTTTGATTTTGCAGCTAAAAATGCAAGGAGGACAATTTTTCGATGATACTTTTTGATGCTAAAGGCTTCGATATCTCTTATGAAGGTAAGCGGCAAGGAGGACAATTTTTCGATGATACTTTTTGATGCTAAAGGCTTCGATATCTCTTATGAAGGTAAGCGCAGATACAAGAGGAACATAATATGCAAGTATTTCTTATTGTGGACTATTTGCTCTATTGAAAAGCTTTATTAAAGTGGGATTACATGCATTTATCTGATTAGTAATATTTTATTCAGGTGACCGAAGAGATGAAGAATGGGCAATAACACCTAAAAAATATGTTAAAGACTATCCAGATGTAAAAAAATCAGGTAACATTTTAATGTCTGATTAGTAACATTTTGTTTCCTAGCATTTTGGGGATTCAAATTAAAATTTATTGATATTTTGTATATAGAGAAGAGCATGTGTTTACTTTTCGCACATGGCCCCTAAAATCTCAGAACTGGCCCTGCCTTTAATTCTCACAATCTTGCGCATGCTCATAAATGAGATTTTGGAGCTAAGGCACTCGAAATCACAAACTTCTCATCAGATAAATTGAAAGAAAACGAAACTGAAATTTCTTCCAACTCAATATCTTATTATTTTTCCGAACATATTAGGGTTTTTATAAAGGATAAGGAATGGAGAGAAAGGGTACCCCATGGATGACCTTGCCGAGGTTGGCCGTGACCTTAGGGTTCCTTAAAGCGTTCTCGGCCGTCCGTTTTGTCTAACCCAATAGCCAGAAAACGCCTCGAGATTTGTGCCGTCATCTGCCGCAGCTCTTCGCTCCCGCCACCACGCAGCTCTTCGCTCCTGTTCCTTCGAGACAAAGAAACGATGGGTAGCAAGACTGTAGTCTATTTGGGCCATTTCCAATTTGGGCCCTACTGATGGGCTTTCCTATTTGATGGGCGGGCCTTTTAATTGTAGGGGTTTCTTCAGGCAAACCTCCTTTGAAAACCACATTTATGACAACGTCATCTTTAGAAGGGGTTCCAATTGCAATAAACAATTTTAACCTAATTTCTAGTAAAATTTTTTATTAAATTTCCAAAAAAAAATATTGAAAAACACAAGTGTCAAGCATGTGACATGCTTTCTCAACGTAACCTAGTGTTTGACACACGCATTTTTTTAAGGAATTTTAAGAATTTTAGTTATAATAATTTCATCAAAAATAGGTCAAGATTATTTATTGCAATCATGACCCCCACGAAAAGTGGTTTCAGTATGAATTGAACTTTAAAGATGTTTTTCATAAAATCACCCTATTTTAAAAGTGATTTCCATGGGGAAAACTCAATTTATATTTATGTCTCATCTATCTAATCTAATCCTATTCTAAAAGTGCATCCTACATCAAAAACAATTTTCAAAAAATATCCTCGACAATAATATCAATTGATAACAATAATATGAATAGCAATATTAAAAATAATGTTATATATCTAATATTAATGCTTATCTATACTATATATTAACGTTAGCTTATCTGAGGGAGGGAAGGAGGAAAAATGTTAGGTGGTTCTTCAAGAGATGAACTTTAATTTCCATTAGGAAGTGAAAGGTGAATGCATTACTTTTAAAGCTTAAGAGGTTCACTCAGTAATAATGTAAACACCCTACTCTGCTCGGAATCAATTCTAACTATATATTTCAATCGTTAAATTTGAATTTTCTACTTGTGTTGAATCCTTAATTTTTGACACGTGTCGTATCCCTTCTTCAAGTTGAAAAAAAACCTATGTTATGTTATTCTTTGTTAAAAATCAAGTTTTTTGAGTTTTAAAAGTGATTTATTTGGGTTTTCATGATGTTTTGTGCTTTAAGAAAGAGATAATGGGTTTTATGATTAATTAGCTTATTGCATTAGATCTAATAAAAAAGTATACCCATTGCCCGCAACCCGCTTCATAATCCCTCATATAAAAGCCCTAATTCCTCTTTCTCAAGAGATTAGGTGAAGATTGAAGAGCATGGAAGCTAAGAGAGGAAAGCTTCTACATCCCAAGATAAGTGCTTTCTTGCTCAAGGTTTTCCTTTTAAAGTTTTGATTCATAAGTTTTGGAGATCTCACTCTTCTCTTACTAATGCTATAAGTTTTATTTTGACTTGATTTATTTTAGATTTTCATGGGATTTGAACAAGGAGGCAGCTCTCTAAGAGGTGGATCTCAATCCATAGTCTCTTTCAATGAGAAGGACTCATTGTTATAGATAAATGATACCTTTGTAAGATAAATCTCATGTTTTGATGCGTTTTTCATGGCTTTTTGTGTATCATATGATCTCTATCCTTCTACGATATTTTTGGATAGTGATGAGTAGCTTGGATAAGGGGTTGTCCTCACTTTTTGTTTGGATTGCGAGCCTTCGAGCTCTAATGGTGGATTTGAGAATACTCAATAATTTAATGCGAAAATAAATGGAATAGTTTCTTCTTAGGAGTACATAACTTGGGCTGAAGTTAGTTTTTTATTTAGGTTTGAATCGAGGAAGTCTTTGATTGAAAATATTTTGAGACTCATAGATTTCAGCACAAACGCATGCACTCGACCTGTCCAACGCACGTGCTTAGTGAAATCCCGAGAATAATTTGTTTTATAGAGCATATGCGCTCAAGCCAATTTTTCAAAAATAATTTTCTATTTTAGATTTATCAGACTGTTGTTAGAACTTGCCTGATATAGCATCGGACCTATGCGCTGAATATAAGAAAATAGATCCTTTTGATTTTGGGAAATTAATCTACTTGAGATAATTTTCACTATTCTTTGCGTTCCTTTGATGAATAATGATACTAGTTATGCAATTAAGCTTGTTCCTGCCATTTTCAGATAAAGTAGATAATAGTCACTTGTTTATTATTCCTTGTTTATGATCGTTTTATTTAATCCATGACATATCCATGTTCATGTATGCAAGTAAGGCTTGTTATTTTATGTTATCGCATAGTGTTTATTGCATGTTTCTGCCATGTTATGTTATGCTATGCCTTGACCTAGACTCTACAGACATTATGCATATTATCCTAGGTCATACTTTAGACTTTTGTTTGTTCGGTTAATTATGATGAGATTTGGCCCTAGGGGCATGCATGATTAGGAACTATGATGTGGTATATAAATGATAATGATGATTGCTTGTGTTTAGATGTTGGGTGTGTCCCTCATGATACTAAATCAATAATGGTCTCTGGTTGAATCAAGAAATTTCTTAGTTTGGGATATATTGCTACTATGAGTAAAGGCTAATGATTCTCCACCATAAAAAAATTGATTAAGTACAAAACATGATAAACCAAGAAAGAGATTAAGTATCTGTGTGTATCAAGTCATGATGACTTGCTTTGATATTTGAGATGCAAATTTCATTTGCTTTGGAAATCCAATCAGAGAGGGCATCCATATGATGAATGTTCTCTATGGATTGAGTTATCCGAGCCTAGTGTATAATACATTATGTATAACTAACTAATGAAAATATTCATGTGAGTTAATTAATGGGGGGATTTGGACACCTCACAGATAATGTGCGACCCATGATTATGTTTGAGCGCTAGTGCCAAATGAGTCTGTGCATATAAACCAAATAAAGGTCCTAGTGGGTACACCAAGCACACATTATCCCTTAAGAGCTTTCCCTCAACAAGATTAAGTAAAATATGAGTGTTGTTAGATGCACACGCAACCTATGCATCACACTCTAGGATTAGACGCACCCTCATTGATATCTCTATGTTGTTGTTATTTTGATTATCTACTACCTCTGTTTATGATCTAGATTTCCAAGATGCATGTTTCTTATTCATGAAAGCAAGTCATATCTTATGTTTATGTCAGTCATAAATTCATGATACATGTTACATGTGCATAAACTAATCCTTAATTTTATCACTTGTTAGACGACTTTCTGATCACCCTGATTTGCATATCAGTGGTAAACCCGGACCTTTCACCTGTGCTTTCAAGCACCCTGGAGTCTAGTGATCTTCAATAAATAGAGTTTCTATCGACCAGCTTGTCTATATGTTTATTTAGTTCTATTTCAGCTTGATATTACTAGACTTTGTTATCTATGTTTTCTTTTTTGCTGCTATGTAGAGACATTGATGTACTTAACTATTTTAGTTGTTATCTAGACTTGTGTGGCCATGCGAACTTATTGTTATGTATTATGTGAAGATGACATTGATATCAATCTCGTGATATCTTTTATGTTATTTAGTATTTATGGACTTGTTGTTTCTTTGTTGAATATATTGTTTTCGCTGCGTATTTATAATTTATACTTGTTATTTGCTATATATTAAATTTCCTGTATTTGTGTTTTTAATTATGTTATTCTATTCTGAGTATGGTATATGAGATATATATATGATCCTCATGGTAAGCTTAACTATATACTTTTGGGCCGTGTTTGGCCCAATTGTATATGGTACCTAGCCTAGTCACATGCCGATTGGGTGCTTCTCGGACACAGGGCATGACAAATAGTCCCTCACTACTAACTTTAATGTACACCTAATTATGATAATTAAGAGGTTCACTCAATGCAAAACCCTCTTCATCTTCCCATCTTATAACTTCCAAACCCACTAATGTGGCATAAATTATGCCAAAGTTACAAGTGCACAATAATCAAGTTATAGTATTTAAGATATCGATCCATGGGAAGGAGAGTATTAGAAAGAAAGATCTAAGTGGGTTCTTGAAATGTGTAGGAAACTAAGAATGATAGTGGTAAACAAACATGGTGTGTGTTTTGAATAGAGGTTTCTTATAAAGATAAAAGGCTAAAATAAGAGAGAAGAATGACAGAAAGAGAAGAACATAATAAAAGCAAATCAAATCAAAACAAAAAGTGAATGAAAAGATGGAAGAAACCAATAAAGGAGAATAAAAATGTGGGATTGCATTTACTAGTTAATTTCAATTTGTAATTAAGAATTACTCTCTTTATGTTCACATATTTCTTAGATTTTCTAAGCATAGACTATCAAGTTATTTAAACAAGCATAACATATCAAAATCATATCTAAGCAATATTAATACTCATAAAAAGAAATAAATAACTAGATAATAATCCTAGAATTATATAAGCATAATCTATTAAACCACTAAAGGAAAGCATAAACTATCAAACTCTTTTTCTACCAATTAGTTCTCTAGTCAATTATCCTAACATGGTCATTTTAAGCACAAAGAGAGCAAATCAAAAAAAAAAAAAAAGAAATTAAATTAGTTTTATCTAATCCAAGATTTCCTATAAGAATTAGCTACTCATATTACAAAAACAAAGAAGGAAAATCTATAGTAGAAAGCATTAAAGGCAAGAAAATAATTCTAAATTACAAAGAAAATAAAGAAAGAAAGAAAATAAAGCATAAAATCTGCACTACAAAGCAACAAAAAAAATAAGAAAACAAATCTATACTACAAAACATGGAATAAATCTATACTATAAAGCAATAAATCTACACTACTAAACATGAAGTTAAAAATAAGAATTAAAATCCTAAAACATGCAATTTCAAAATAAGAAAATAAAATTTAAAAAATAAAAATTTATATTGTAAGCGGTTGGTCCCTTGAGTGGCAAATATTCATCTTCATCATCAAAAGAGAAGAAGAAAGAAACTTGAAAAAGAGGATTTTTTTATTTATTGCAAATAAAAAGTTTACAATTTTAAAGGTCTTCTCAATTAAGAGTATTTATACTCTCTAAAATAGAGTTTATAAAATTTTTCACACTTCAAACCCCTCACTCTACCCCTCTGTTTATAGCCTACAGCCTTTAACCTCAA